AGACACACAGCAGATAAAATTCAGGCAAACTGAGCGAATCGTAATGAAAAAAGCAATTTCAGATTTTGCCCCTTTCTGATTACATTGTCTGCGAAGGGATTATTTTCTGATGTTTGTTCATCAGTTGCAAGTGCCTGATAGACATTTTAGCAATTAATTATTTGTTTGCCTCTTCCTATGAGCAACTCATTGCAAGCATTAAAAATTAAGGCAGTTTTTATCACGCACATAGATCATGTGATAAACTTTTGGCACTTAACTGGATAAAGCTGAACTCCCGGAATCAGTTTTCTGATTCAAGTATTCACAAATATGATTTCAAAATCTGCTTCCCATGAATATTAAAACTGGATATTCATTGTTTCTGTAGACAGTCTTCCCAATTAACATATTCACTAGAATATTTATGGAAAGCATACACAAAAAGAGTGTGAACAGCATCAAAGTGAATCCATTTAAATACTAAGATGAGTATTTGCAGCCTTCCTTCATTTCACTTTATTGTATTTTATGAGGTGTTTGCCCAACTCTGGTTTCAATCACGGCTCTACAGATTACTTGGCCTAAAATGTACTGTCAGAGAACGATAGTCACCCAACGCTGGAGTGAAAAGAGGAGAATCAAGGAAAGCAAGTCCCGGGAAAGAAGGCAGGCTCTGGTTTTAAAATGTTATCCTAGCAGTTAAGAGAAAACAGAGTTGACTTCTTGCTCTCTCACAGACTCCCTACATGATCTCACACAACTTGTCAAGGTTTCATCTTCAGGTTACATTACTGACTCTTCCTTTCCTGTGAAATATGTTCTACACAGGAGCCCTACATAGACACTTTATGGCTTTCAACCTCAAGTGGATCCACCATGCAGAAACTGATAACTCAAGTGTATTTTCATCCTGTCAAAACGGAGGTGACTCTCAATCTGTTGAGGCCAGATAGCCACAGTGGACACTTTTTTGAGGAATCAGTAATCTAGAGAGCACATGTCAAATCACAGTTCCAAGCCTCCATTTTACATGACCTTCATGGTAAAGGTCACAGGAAACTGCTGCATATAGCTTGGAAAATGATGCTATTTCTGGAGCTACTCTTGGTTAGTGAAATTGCTATTTTCTTTGTAATGAAAATCCATCATACGTTATTTGATTATTTCTCCTTCCCTGTTTTAAATGCACTCCACCTTTCCTACTCTATTACCTAGCCTTTTGAATGCAATTTAAGAATGTTGGAACAATTAGCTTTTTCATTCAAAGTAACTGATAAATGAAATCATGCTGTCCTTGTGCATTATTAAAAACAACAACAGTAACCAGGTATGTTCAAAGGCTATACAATATTCAAAATCCTCTTTAATATTCTAGTTCATAACCTTAATAGACATTTATACATGATTAATGAGGCTTTTAGTAGCTGTTGCTGTCACAGCTTGGGTAATGCCACCTCCAATGAATATTCCAAGGGAAGGGTCTTGCTGGCAGTGTCTGAGTGACAGCTGTGAAGCAGCAGGCTGCAATGTACTTTCTGACAAGAGAAACAAAACCCCAAATGAAACAAAATTCTGTCCTATAGAATTGCAAACTATTTCAAAAGCAGAACATGGGAACTGATTACGTTAGGGCATATTTTATAACACAGATTCACTAGGCAAGAGCTTATAAAAGGTTTCTAAATGAGATCCCACTGCCACGCTATGGCAAATGAATAACTTAAGTTCTTAGATAGAAATGCATGGATGAGTAATGTAATTCCTAATTACATCACGAACACATAATTTTAGGACACAGCACTGCAGATATCAGTACCGAAGAGAGATAATTGATTATGGAGCCCTGAAACAGGCTAACAAACAAAGAAAGAACCGCAAAAGAACATAAAAACCAGAGCACAACATTTTTTGCTATGACAACTCAGCTAGCTCAACCTTTTTAGCTTAGTGAAAAGAAGACTGAGAGGTGATTTGACTACTATGTGTAAGTACCTTCAAAGCGAAACATCCCCAGGCCGAACAGGGGAATAACTAGCATGGATTCACCAAGGGTAAATCACGCTTGACCAACTTGACTGCCTTCTGTGATAAAATGACTAGAACTGTGAATAAGAGATGACCAGCAGACGTGATCTCCCTTGAATTTAGCACAGCTTTCAATACGGTCTCCCACAGCATCCTTGTATTCAAGGTGGGATTTTACAGTCTGTATGGGTGGACTACTAGATGGGTGAAAAACTAGCTGGAATGTTGGGCTCAAAGAGTGATGGTTACTTGTTCATGTTCTGTCTGGAAGTCAGTTACGCATGGAGTTCCTCAGTGACTATTCTGTGAACAGTCGTTTTCAATACTTTTATCAGTGACTCAAAGGAGAAATCAGAAATCACCCATATCAAGACTGCAAATGACACCAAGCCTGGGGGCTGCAGTCAATGCAGTCACAGCAAGGGTGCCACCCAGGGGCACCTAGACAAGCTGGAGGAAAGAACAAAGCAAAGCCCTGTACCTGGAAAGGACTAACATTCCCATAATGGCACAGGCTGTGGACTAGTCCTGCCGGGAAGGACTTATAGTCCTGGTGGACAGAACATTCAACATGAGCCAGCAGCATGCCTGGACAGTGACGAAGGCCAATGGCATCCTGGGCTGTATCAATTGGAACACAGCAAATAGACTGAAGAAGTGACCAATCCCCTCTACGTTGTACTCATTAGACCAGATCTTGAACACTGTGTCCAGTTTGGGGTCCCAAATACAAGAATGATGAAGTTCATTGATGAACATTGATGAAGTTCAGCGTAGGGTTATCAAGTTGTATGGGCTATTATTCGGTTAAATAAATATTTTAACTGACTTTAGTTTTTAACCAACCAAGATTAAATCATGCCCCATCCAAATATTAAAAGAAAAAGAAAACAGATACAGAAAAATAACAGAAAGATTCACTAACTTATATGATTTCCAGTCCTTTTCCAGTGCAAGGCTTATTAATAGGTAATGGGCTTTACTCCCTGGTTTGCATTTAAGATTAGTTCACACTGAGATCTTTAAGTCACTTCAAATACTATGTAGCAGCAAATTTCAAGATTTGTATTGAGCTCTCTGTAAAAAAAAAAAAAAAAAGATTCTACACACAAGAATTTAAAGCAGCATGCCATTATCAATTGTGGACACAATTAAAATAGCCATTACAACAAGGCAGCATAAGATTATTATAAAAGCAAAAAAGTGAGGCCTGCATTTGCTCAGCTTTTAAAAATCAAATAAAATCAGTGCTGTTCTGCCTGCCAGATCATTAGTTTTCAAGTATGCAGCCAGCACCCCTTATATTTCCAATTTAACATGAATCCTGTAAGTGTTTCATTCTAGAATGAACTCAAAGAATTACTGCCCATTATGGCAGAATTTTAAGTAACCAAATAAATTAGCATAAGCAAATATTTGTACCTGGCATGTAACTAATTCAGATATGTATGTAATATACACTGAAAATCTTTACATGTTCTTTCTTGTAGTTTAACTTGGAATCCAATTTTGTTTTGAAACAAAGCACAAATTTGTCAGCCAAGGTTACATGAAAGAAGCTTGACATTTTAAACAATGCCTTTTTAAAATTAGCAGACTGTAAACTAGTGTTTGAACAGTTTTTAAAAGGCTGAAACACCTTTCGTCGTGCTAAAGTAACTACAAAGGCTGAGAAGCTTTTTTACTCTTGCCAAAATAACATATCTATTGCCAAACATTAGATGCTACATCTCAGGGGAAAAAAAAAAAAAAAAGCAAGCTACAAAGTAACAAAAAATAGGAGATCTGGCATCTTCTAACCTCACCTAACCAAAGTATCACTGTTGAACTCCTTTAAGGCCAGGAAAAAGACTCGTAAAATAGACAATTTAAAAGCCAAAGTAGTGGTTAATCCAAGTCTGATTATAAAAAGTGCTAGTTATACAGCTGCAAGTCAATGTACCTATAAACTTGAGGATCTCCACTTGAAGAAAGAAGAGAAGAGAAAGATATTCCAGCTATAGCAAGCCACCACCACCCAGAGGGATATGGATTCAAACTGATTTTATATAAAGAGATTCTATACAGGTATTCATTGATTTTTCATGCTCAGTCTTCTAGCACAATAAGCATAGAGGCAGTGGCCAGAACTAATAGTCTTCACACAAAGGCAAGAAAAGAGCTTCATGTGTTTGCAGGTTTGGGCCACGTAGGCATTTATATAACTGAATTAGAAGCTCATAAAACACTGCACAGAATTCTTTGCTGCTACATTTACACCTCATAGAACCGAGTCCCACCACTGTCTGACATTCCACAAAGTAGGTACCACCTTGTCTCCCCTGGTCCAGCGAGCAGCAGCACGCTGGGCCACAGGACAAGAAGAAGTCTGCAGCTGAGTGACCATTACCTACCAGAGCCCATTCTGCAAAGAATCACGCCAGACACACACTTCCCTGGCTCGTACAGTAGGCTCTCCATGCTCTCATAGGTAGATATGCTTCCTGCTTCGTGTCCCAAAATCAGACTCAGCAGCCCACGTCATCCATACATATAAGGTGTAACACACAGCTGCATAAAACCAACAGTCGTGTAAAGAGTGCCCAGAACACACACAGATGCCTTTTTAAACACTTTTCAGTAATATTAAGGGCAGATCTGAAATGAAATGTTAATGTTACTTAAGAGTAAAATCTTACAGGGCACAGGATAGATCAACTTTTAAAAATTAGAAAACACAGAGAAGAAACAAGTAAGGTGGGGTTTTTATGTTGCACTTTTTAAAAATTCAAAGATAAGAGTAAAATCAAATAACAGAGGCCAGCAATTCCCTCCTCCTTGGCAGTGAGAACATGGTAAGGAAGGCCCTTTTTTGAAATCTGCACCTTGGGAACTATTTCCTATGCGAGCCAAACCAGATTTATTTAAATAAAATCAATGATGACTGATCTGCATCTGCCTGCCCTGATATAAATCATTCAACACCCCACACCCAGCCATTATTCCCCTCCTACCTTCAAAACTCCCAGCGAACAGATAAATCCACGTAATGGCTGGGACAAAAAGGACGGTCAGAGAGGCAGCCAGGAATTTCCGTCGCCCTCTGCAGATTCCCAGCATTCTCTCAGGAGTGCAGATTCCCAACCCGGTGCTGTTCCTATGTCGGAAGCAAATAGTCCACAGCCTCCCACATATTACTCCCTAAAAAGGAAAGGGAAAAAAATTTTTAACAGCTTATCTCTCTACAGAAAGGTAGACTATTCCAATGTTCCTAAAGAGTTAAAAGAACAAGGCTAAAAATAGGGTTACCACAATTGCAAAGCAGTACCCATTTCAACATTATCCATGACTACTCAATAATGAAGCAAGTTTTAGAAGTCAGACTAAGACAGTAAGTCAATAAACCACATCGTATCACCTAAACACACACAGAGCTAATCTTACAAAGAGACACCACCTTTATTTGTTTTTTTCACCACCCTTTTACTCTAGAGAAAGTCTGGGTTCTTTGATGCCCTGTGTGTGGTGGTGCCCCTGGGCAGGTAAGAGAAAGCCACCCGCACTTCTTCACACCAATGAATCAGTGAGCTGGTTGCAGATGGTCAAGGACTCAAGAAGGTGAACTGAAAAAGGAAAGGTAAAGTTTGGGGATAGAGGGATGTTATTAAAATGACACACTTTGCTAATCAAAAAGGGGAGAAAAGAGAGCAAAATAGGCAAGGAAGCACAAAAGGGGATATCAGGAGCTTTATACTGTATGCTAGGAGAAAAGAAGGGGATTCTAGAGAGTACCACGGATTTTGTAAGAAAAAAAAAAACAAACAGGATCTTAATTTGTTTAAATTATTGTTCTGCATTTCACAGACGCCAAGACGGCAAAATAATCTGATGGTTTTTATTCACAGGAAGATAAATATTCCCAACCAGTGCAGGCATGCAGGGCATAAAGATAATCTTTCACATCTTTTGCCTTTTTTTTTGAAAAGGGAGGAAAGTCTAGTGTTAGACTAGAGAAGCTGGAGATTGGAAAGGAGGTATTAAGTCCACGCATATCTAGTTCAAGCTTTGTGTGAAAGGGCTTATCTTTTCTGATTTTAAAAAAAGAGTTGGTCTCAAAAAAAATGACCACAGACTATGGCAGCAGAAGGCGTTTAATAAAGGTGCCCTTTGGCTTGTGCTTAAACTAGTACTACAGCTGAAATCAGCAATTAAAGCATTTCTACACTGACATACTAACAAAGACTACTGTGTGCCTTGAAAATATGCCTGAGCTCTACAACTCCATGTATATTGCAGTGAAAGTTAATTCAGAAATCAAATTACAGCAAAAATGAGAATTATAAACAAGAGAAATGGGTTCAGACGAAGAACTCCGCTGCTGGAGATACCTGGCTGCAGTAATCAGGCAAACTTACAGCTGTCCCTTGAACGTTCAATAAAGCCCACTTAACTACACTACAGTTTAAGAGCCATGATAGTACTCCTGACCTTGGAACTGATAAAATGGACTATAATTTGTCCAGAGCCAGCACAAAAAGATTCCATTGTGTCAGCTTTTCAATGCAATGAATGCCTCACCACAGAGATTTTGCACAAAATATGTGGACAGACTTAATATTAACAACTGTGGTATTAGAGCCACTGTGTTAGACAGACACACACTCGGTAGATAAATTGTGGAGAACTCTTATCTTTATTCACTGTATTTGGATAACGATTACATTTCATTTCTTTTCCTTACAGCACATAGCTTGTACAACTATTCTGAAGAGAGTCCTTTACATGCCTACTTGAAAAACACAGATAATTCTCCTGGCTTATGCATTTTACACTTGCTATATGTGTGTGTATTGTAAAGCGCACATAATCACTTACTTCACGTAGGAATATTTTTTTTTTCCCTGTGACATCACGGTGTGCACCACCGGCATCAATCTGTGCATGTAAAAATGAATCTTTGAAAAAACAAGCTCACAAGCAGGGTCATCCTCCAATAGCAACATCTTGTAATGCAACGTGCATTGGACACATCCTGTTCCTCCCAATACCTGTAAAACCCACAGGTAGCAAAGTAAAAGTCAGCACTAATGTTTCTGCAATCATGCTGTTACAAGTACACTGATGCCAGTTTTTGGGATAATGACACCCAGACTCTGAAGCTTGGGGTTATTGTGCAGCTAGTGGATTAATTAATCCCAGGGCTGCATATTTAAGAAGCAATTCCTTTTTCCCTATATATTTCTTTAAATATCCATGCATGCGAAGTTTCAGAATAGGTCAACACAGAGGATGAAATCCAGCTTTTCTGCCCCATGAACGTAAAGTACCCTAACAAATGAAGAAAGTGTAAGGAGCAACATTGAACTCCCACTTCAGCTACAAAGAAAAGCCAGGAATGTCCCAAATTCAGCTTTCTACAAATTGTCACCATTCAGACAAAACAGCCAAATCATTCTGCACATTCATGCACATCTTTTGTCTAACTAGGAAGACATTTGGGCAAATCCTAGACAGACAAGTCAGCTTGTGACGGATCATGCTAGGAAATGTTGAGATACTTCTTTTAATGGCGCTTTAAAAGAGGAAAGAGCTATAAACTATTTTAAAGGAAATTTCTGCTATGTTCCCACCCCTCCAAAGTTGTGAATAGCTTCCCTTGAGTCTTAAATATTCATTTTCAGTGTATAAAATCACCACACCTTCTGGGTATTTTTTTCCAAACTAGACAATGCATCATGTGCAAACCCTACACAAGCAATCGTCTTAAATAAAAGGTCCATGAATGGTAATGAAGACACTTAGCTTAAAGGAAAAGCTTTGGACTCAATCATGTGTTCATTACTGGCTTTACTTGTGAAGAATGTTACCTAACATACCATCGTCAAATAAACTGACAGAAGATATTGCAGTTCTCTAACTTGGTTTTCCTTTCAATTCAACAGGTGCCAGATGGATATCCATCATGAAAGGAAAGTGGCTGACAACACTGGCTGGAGCAAGGGCTGAGCACAGAGCAGGAGAGCACTGTGCACATTTTTGCTGTATGAGCGCGTCATTTCCTTTCAGACTTCTCCTACAGCATCCACTGCTCCTACTGAATCACGACTGTCACCTGCCTAAAAGGTCTTAGAAAGCAGTTCTATGGTACAGGCTAAAAATGAAGCTACATCGGATGTGACACTGCTAGCTATATTCGTCTTTTCAGTAATAACAAACACTGCAAGATGGTTCGCTTCATTTACACAAATCCATGCAGTGTTCCTCCTGATAGCTTTCAGTCTTACCAGCTGTGCTAACTGAACACCTATACTCAGAAACACGTAGCATGAAATATGTTGGAAGGAAAAAAAAAGAACTAACTAGCCAATTTAAGCACAGGAACTAGGTGCAATACTCTGATCAAAAACCAGCCAGTGGCTCCCCTTAATCTGTTGTCCAATGCTAGTATTTTCAGATACACTAACTGAACCACACTGAACATCTGCAACTTTAGCCACCTTTATTGGATTTATCTCAAAGCAAGGGAGATCCAAATGAGCCCCGGCGTGAAAGGGAATGGTTGGGAGAGTTTCTGGTAAGGGGTTTGCAGTTTGAAAAATAGTCTCAGCTTCAGTCCTCCAAACAGATTTTCTGTCTGTGCCACAAATCCAGAGAAGGTGCGTGCATTTCAGGATTTCATTCTACCTTGGTCTTCAATTTTTGATGTATTGAGTGTGCCCCAAGAGCAAGATATATGTTAGAAATCTGATTAAATAAGTAATATCCACAAAAGTAAGCTGTATGTATACCATGCACGTATGTCTTGCTGTCAGTAAGTCAGATGCTCTACACTTCTATGCTACATCCAGTTCAAGACTTACAAAACTTACTGCACATGTACAGATCAACAGACATTAATAGAGCAACCTCAGGCCAGCTCATCCTTGATTATTGCTAATGGTGCTATTAAAGGCTACTAGCTTGGACAATGCCTGTGTGAGGGGTCATGGTGGGAATTAAAATCAGCTGGGTTTCTCATTACAAAGACGTACTCATGACCTTCTTAGCACACGGCAACAGTGAATGGAATGACTTTCATTACCTTCACATATGGTCAAGTGCTTCCATTAACTACCCTACCTTGGCAGAGTGGTTGCTTTGTTTTAAATCAATGATTGTCTCCTCAGATAAGTGTGAAGCAGCCCTCAACCAGTATGAGCAGCACATATATCAAAGCACATAACACAACACTAATCACATTGGTGTTCAGTTTGGTACTATAAAGGCAGGGTGTGGAATAAACCCAACATTATGAAGTAAAGGTGAATGAATTAAATGGTAAATCTTTATTTAAATAAACACACCTTTGTCCATATACTCAACTTCTCAAGTTCTTAGAACAGGAATAGCACTTTGAAGGAAAATGCCATCTCCTCTCCCATCAACCTTTTTTTCTCCCATATGGAAGAACATGCTACAGAAAGAAATCTAAGGCTCCCTTTGCTCCCAAACTCTGAATTTTCTTGGCATTGGAGATCTACCCCTGAATCAGACTTCTTAATCCAATGGTATCGTGACTTTAAAGAAGGATTTGGAGTAGACTCTGACTCAGCATCCACCTCAGAAGTTCTGCGAAGCCACTTTAAAAGGAACAGATTACAGCAGAGTTTCCAAACGCTACCAAATTTACTCTTTCTCAACTAGTTACAAGCAAATAGTCCTATCTATAAAAGAGAAAATAGCCAATAAGTTGACAGCACAAATGAGTTTTGCCTTGGAACTGTGCTAACTGCTCCGAGGGCACACAGGATTGACACGTTCTTTTATATCTTCACTCAGTATGTGCCATGATTCAAGGAAAATTCTATTAGTGTCCTGCTAACCAAAGTTTTCTAGAAGGTTCCAGCTGTAAGCAACACCACCACAGGAATGGGGATCTATCCTGACAGTAGTCACAGGTGGAGAGAAGTAAATAAATAACACATTTTCACATTTTTCCTTTTTCATTCCCATATATTCCTTTATATGTATGTGTGCATGTATATATATTTATACACATGCATTTTTAATAGCATTTCTTTTTCCTTTCATGCCTAGACTGCTCAAAAGAAGGAAAGTCTGCAACTTTAAAAATTATCAAGGAATAACACAATTTAAGATAAGAACCTTTTCCTAAGCCTCCACTAAAATGTCACTGTTAATATGAAGGGGAAAAAACATCT